ACTCATATCCCCAGACCAAATCCAAAGATTCTACTCAGCCATGACAGTTTTTAAAGGGAAAAGCGAGAGGGGGGAGAATCTCAGTGAATCATCGAGGCAGGAGGCTGTGTTCCGCATCCTTCCCTATTGCGTGCAGGCTGGCTGACTCTCCCTCCTGACGCCCGTCTTGCCCATGTGATCTGCCTGCAGGGTTGCTAAGGGGGTTGTTGGGGATAGAGAGCTGGTCATTCTTTACTTAATTCTTTATTCTTAGTTCTTTTTATCTAGGAAAAGAATAAAAAGGTTAATTAGGTTCTTTCAAGTTTAGAGGGGAAGAGAAATGGGCAAAAGAGCTACTTTCACACTTGCTTTTCAAAATGCTGTTTTGCTATTCTTCAGGCAAGCAAGACAAAACCAAAGATAAAGTATTATGCAGAGAAGCGCACATCATCCAACCAGAGTGTCGCTGCCTTTACTGAAACAAGAATTGAAGAAATTCATTGAGGCTCTTCAATTAATTAATCAATTAATCAATAGTTGATCTAAGGAAGGAATGGAAAATTTTACTTGAGCCAATTTGAGGATTACTACCCAGGAGACAGTCTTTCAGAAAGCCCTGAGGACTGTTGTGCCCATTTTTGGTCAAAGAACAGTTATATACATTTTTGAGACAAAGTGTTATATATCAAATGACATATTGATAGTTTACACAATCCAGATCTGCGTGTACAAAGGCAGTAGTGGGTCGTCTTTGCTCCTTACAAGATTAGGAAGGAAGATTCTCACCTAAGGAGGTCTGGTTAAGGCAGATGCACAGCACACACTAAAGGGTCTGAAGAGGCCCAGACCGGGAGAGAGAAATTTTAAGTTTAATTGTTTCTTGTCTTGCCACAAAATGTGAATTTTATTTCATCACTCTGATTAAAAATGTTCTTGAGCCCAGTAAAACTGGACTGACCTGGCACTCTGTTTAGGTGTACACCCGTCCGTCGTTGCTTTCGCTGGCACTTGGGACAGAAAAACCAAGCTGCGCCTGGACCTCGTGTTAGCATTCTTTATCTCATCTGGCTGAGTGTCTTTTTTTCCTTTTAATTTCTTCTGTTTTGGTCAAGTAACTAAACAAACTGTATAAATTTGAAATGAAATGGTCTGGAGGGAAATTATTCAAACTTTTCATAATCTTGAACGAAACTCATTACATTAGAAGTGTCAGAGCAACACAGTGTTCTTCCTTTAACAAAAACATAACAAAAGTGAGTTTACTAACTAAAGTGTGATTAAGCTTAGTTCCAGTGTCTTGTAATTGTGTATAGCACATTTTATTTATTTATTTGGCTGCGCCGGGTCTTAGTTGCCGCACATGGGATCTTCATTGCTGGGTGTAAGATCTTCGTTGCGGCACGCGGTACCTTTTTAGTTGTGGCATGCAGGCTCTTTTAGTTGCGGCATGCGGGATCTAGTTCCCTGACCAGGGATCAAACCCAGGCCCCTGCATTAGGAGCGTGGAGTCTTAACAAGTGGACCACCAGGGAAGTCCCTATAGCACATTTTTAAAAGAAGCATGTGTTATGTATTTAATTGTAGAGTTACTTAAGGAAATTAATCCATTAAATTGGCAAGAAAATGGCACTGTTCCCAGATCACTGTGGAAACGTGTTATTGTTACATCATAGGTATTTATTTACAAATTAGAATATCTGAAACAGGGCATTTAGCACTTCTATATGTGGCTTCAGCACCTCTGTTGAAGATACTCTTGGTGCAGTATACATTTATTGTATATTTTAAAAATCCTGTTGTTTACTGAACATAAAACAATAGGCGACACTCCTGGTGGCTTTGTTCTTGTCGCATTTCTTGGAACCTTCTCAGGGTCTGGTGTGAACTGAAATGATGTTCCTGCATTGAAGACGATTTAATCAGTTCATTTTTAGGCAGCTAGAGAAAAATCTTTTGAACTATTTAGGTGCTTCACCTCTATTAAATGGATTTGCTGATTTAAGTAAAGAAAAAAATCAGAGCTGAGAAAGGAGCTGGAATTTATTTAGAAGACTAACTTCTGAATTATATTTTTGTAAGTAGATTTATGCTAATATTACTAAGAAATAAAACAAACAGATTTTAGGTGTTATGAAACACTAAAACTCCAGTTTATTGTAATATTTTTCTGACCTGAACAAAATTTCTGATCATATAAGAACCATTTATCATTTTTAATGTGGAAAAAAATTTATGGAAGGTCATTTTTGGTTGATTCTGCAGTCTTCTGAAAAAAGACTTTAATAGAGAAGTGCTGTTTAATCTTAAAGTATATTCTGTCCTACATAATTCACAGAATACTTAAACACACGTGGTATAGTTTAAGAGGTAACAATCATAAGGCCTTGAATGTAATCATACTAAACAAATTACCTATAGGAGATAGCAGTGGTATAAGAGAATTTATTTCCTAAAATAATAATAATATAAAGTTTAAACTGATTAGAATGTTCATTAAATCATGGTTTGGTTTGTTGCAGCTATCAGCTAACATTTGGTTGAATGCACATAATCCAAATATAATTTTCAAATTATTATATTGCCACTATTGTTAATTTTTTCCTTCTTTACTTTCTCATAGCTGTGTCTTGTATGATTTAGGTAATGGACAGCTAGCCAAACGTAAACCACCGCTTTTCTGAATGAGTTTGTTTTCAAAGGCTTTGCACTGAAGAAGAAATATGTAGAATTTTTTATTTGCTTTTAAGAATGTAGATTGTCATTTAGGAAATGGCCTCTATTTTACAAAGTGGTATAATACTGTGTATGTGAAAAATGTGTATATTTGGCTTGATATCCGTGTTTCAGTGACTGAAGAACAAAGCAGAGCTGAAATGATACAACAGCCTGTTCATCATCACTAAGCCACGTCTTGATGGTTACTCTCTATGAAGAGCATGGTTTTATTTGAGTGCTTTAATATAACGCAAGATTTAAGTCATCTTAATCAAGGTGAAAAGTTAGAAGCTTGGATCCTTATCTCAAAAATTTAAAAATCCAAAATTAAAATGAACAGAAATCTTACAAATTCCCAAAGTATATAGACTGAGGAATCATCTGATTCCAGCCAAGCTCTGGAGTCTGTCCGAGCATGGTGTTTAGCATGAGCTTAACATAGGGCTCAACGCTTGGCGAACAGGATAACTTCAGTGCCCAGGCCAGCCAGGAGAGACGCAGATGGTAGCCAGCAAGTCCCAGCCTTGGGCTCTGCATTGTTTATCTTTCTCTCTAGGAATAATATCACGGGAATGAATGAATTCTCCTTGATTGCACATATCAGAACTCAATTTTCTAGAGTTTGGGGAAAAAGAAATAATGAGTGGGGCAAGATCAAAGCATATGTTGGAAATTAGCAGTAAAAACAAACAACAGAAAGGTCAGTAAGGCCGCATAGGAAATGCTTCTTGGGAAAAGGGCAAACCTACTTACCACCCAAAAGTAGGGACAAGCTGACTGTGGGCAAGTTGTTGACTTGTGCTTATCTGTTATTCTATGAGCAGATAATGAGTCCATTGTTTTCCTTTATTAGCAAACACTAAAAAGAGACCTAGTTTTACGAGGTGAGAAAAAGTATCCCTTTCACTAATTCAGTCCCTGCTAGCGTGTTGTGTCTTAGGGGCCTATGGGAACTCCGAAGGAGATACAGCCTACAGATACAGCCTACGTGTCCGAAGCCCTGAATTTTATTTTTTTGAGAATACTTATCATTTGCTTAACGATCCCACAGGGAAAGA